TAATTAACACATAACGTCCTTACATTTTACTACTGTTGTGGAAAACTTTCTTATCTTTTATTTTTTGGAATTTTCATCCTTATTTTCACATTCCAATGAGCAAAATGTCATTTTCATCCATTTTCTCACTTAAAAGCTGTGAAATGACGAATATACATTTCCATTTTTTTTTTTAAAAGAACTAATTGTAATCATAATTCCAAACTTTTTTTAAAAAAAATGCAAACGAGTCACAAATAAATTATTAAAAGAGTAATTAGCATATGATGTCCATACTTTTCACTATTATTGTAAAGAACTCCATTTTTTACTTTTTAGCATTTCCATCCTTAATTACACATTTAATTGCGCAAATAATCATTTCTATCTATTTTCATCTAATTTTTCAATAAAAGCTGTAAAATAAAAATACACTCTTATTTAAATAAAAAAAATTAAAGAAAAATATTTTTTTTAAATTTTTAATTTTTAATAATTTATTTGGGACTCATTTAGTTGCCAATTAATTTAAAATCAAAACTGATTAATCGATAAGTGACCACCAAATAAATTAAATTAAAAGTTAATCAATTAATTTTCCACAAATTGAGTTAAGATAAATCAAAACAAATCTTCAACGCTTTTTATGCCTTCTTCCAATTCGTGTCTTCTCTGTTCCTATTGAAAAGAATGGTTGTCGTCTTCTTCTTCTATAATTCAATTGATGATCCAACCAAATCACAATCAAGTGGTCCAAATTAATTTGTCTTCTTCCAAATCCTATCTTCCTGTTATCAGAGACACGTGATTTTGAGTAAGGGCTGTCTGTTTCTCATCAGAGACATGTGATTTTGATTTCAATTTAGGCTTCCAACTTGTATATTAATTTAAATTTTTCATCCATTTGCCAAATTTATTAGTATTATTTTTTTAAAAATCACATTATTTCTCGATAAACTAAAATCGTATGTCAGGCAAACTATATCACTATATCTAAGTGATCTGATGGCAAATTAAGAAAAGGCAAACTTAATAGCTATTACATGCACTATTTTATCTAACCAAACATGACTCTAAAATTGTCCAACTTATTTTCTTGTCTTCACATAATCTTGAAAATAATTCAGCCCATTTTATTCACTAAAATTACATTCT